TGTGGTGGTGACGGTGACACAGGGGTCTCACATGGCAAAATGGCAGAGCAGAGAAAGAGAGAGATTCTCACATACTCTCCTTTTAAAGCCCTCAGAACCATGCCTATGACCACTGTTAAACAAGTCACTATGGCAAGGTCCTCACAATCTAATCACCTCTTCAAGGCTCTACCTATCCATTACCATAACAGAATTTCCCACCCTCACAAGTTACAGGGGGATTAAGCTTCAGTGACTTTGGGGGACATTCAATCCACTACACTCTGCCCCTGGCCCCCCAAACTCATGTCCTTTTCACATGCAAACACATTCATTCCATCCCCAAAGTCTTAACTTGTTTCAACTCAAAAGTCCAAAGTCCGAAGTCCCATCTGTGAAATCAAAATAAGTTATCTACTTCCAAGATACAATGGTGGGACAAACATCTTCCCATCCAAAAAGGGAGAAATAGGCCAAAAGAAAGGGGTAACAGGTCCAAACAAGTCCAAAACCCAGCAGGGCAGGCATTAAATATCAAAGCTGATGAATCATGTACCTTGGCTCCATGTTCAATGTCCTCTGCACACTGGTACAGGAGTTGGGTCCCCAAGTCCTCAGCTCCACTTCTATGGCTTTCCTCAGATGAAGCTTCAGCAATCACAGGCCAGAGTTGCACACTGGTAGCTCCACAGTTCTGAGGTCTCCATAGTGGTCCTGCTCCCATGTCTCCACTAGACATGGCACTGATGGGGATTTTCTGTTGCAACTTCAACCCCACATTTCTGCTTGGCATTGGTCTAGTGAAGTCTGTCTGCAGTGATTCCACCCCTGAGACAGATCTCTTCCTGGGCCCCCAGGCTTTTCCATATACCCTTTGAAACTGAGATGGAAGTTCTGAAGCCTCCACAGCTCTGGCATTCTGCAAGCCTGCAGTCTAAACACCATGTGAATGCTAGCAAGGCTTTTGGCTTGTGTTTTCCAAAGCTTCAGGTTCAGCAACACCTGGGGCAAATTTAGCCATAGCTGGAGCAGCCAAAGCAGCCAGAGTGCTGGTGTGGGAATCAGCATCCAGAGATGGTCCCGGGCAGTGAGCGTATGGAGGGCAAGACCATTCCATCTCCATAGGCCTCTGGGCCCATAATGGAAGGGTTGACCCCAGAGACTTCTGCAATGCCTTAAGGGCTTTTTTCCCTTCTCTTGATAATCCCTTTCTTTTGTACTAATCTTCTTAGCACCATTACATTTTTCTCCTGAAAATGCTCTCTGCTTCTCTACCATATGGTCAGGCTGCAGATTGTCCAAATCCTATGCTCTGTTTCCATTTTAATTATACATCTGCCTTTTATGTCATGCCTCCTTTTCTGCCATAACTCAGAATAGACTGTTGCAAGTAGCCATGCAGCTTCCTGAAAGTTTTGCTGCTTAGAAATTTCTTTTGCCAAATACCCTGGATTAGCATCTTGAAGTTCCACGTTCTGTATATCTTTTGGGCATGAACAGAATGCAGCCATGTTCCTTGCAAGTTCATAACAAGGGTGATCTTTGTTCCAGTTTCCAAAAAGCTCCTTCATACTTACATCTAAGATTGCCTCAGTATGGCCTTTATTGTACATATTTCTATCAGTATGCTGGTCACCACTATATAACCAGTCTCTAAGAAGTTCCAAATTTTCCCTGGTTTTCTTGACTTCTAAACTCTCACGAGCAGCTAGGCTTTTTCTAGCCTGCTCCTTCAAATTCTTCCAGCCTGTCTTCAACACCCAGTTGCAAAGCTGCTTCCACATTTTCAAGTATTTGTCATAAGCAACACTCCACTTCTCTGGTACCAGTTTTCTGTATTAGTTAAGTTCTGTTGCTTATAACAAAATACTTGGAACTGGGTACTTTGTAAGAAAATGAAATTTATTGCTTACAGTTTCAGAGGCTGGGAAGTCCAAAGTCCAGGGAACACATTTGGTGAAGGCCTTGTTAGTGGTGACTTCAGTGACATGACATATCACATTGTGAAATGGCAGAAGCAGAGAGAGAAAGACTCTCATGTGCTCTCCTTTTAAAGCTCTCAGAACCATGCCCCTGACTACCATTATTAATCCATTCACTAGGGCATGGTCCTCAGAATCTAATCACTTCTCCAAGACCCCACCTTTTGATTACCATAACAGGATTTCCCACCCTCAACTGTTACAGTGGGGATTATGTTTTGGGGAGACATTCAACCCTAAGCAAGAAATAATTAAGATATGGATTTTAACATAATTCTATTCAAGAAAGTTTTTTTGTAAGTAATGGCTCTTTAAGTTATTTAGCCTTCAAAGTTCAAAGGAATAAAATGTAATGGCAAAATATCCTCCAGGGAGACTGGAAATTTTACTCAATCTCCATCAAATGACAGCTTAGGTGGCTGCCCCTATACAGTGAATCTACCATTCACATCAGCAGATGATGAATTGGCTAATGCTTTTTTTTTTTTATTTGTGCTAAGGACTACTTTACCAAAACAGAAGACTCTCAAACCCTATGAACATTGCTGTAGTATTCCAGTTCCTTCTTACTAGACTAATAGACAAAAGATCAAATCATCTTTTTTGCTAATGTTTAATGCTTTACACTTGTTCTCCAAGTTAATCTTCACAACAACTGGAAAAGGCAGATACAATTATTTTTGCCATTTTATAGATGGAGAAATTGAGGTTTAGAGAGGTTGTATTATTTGATGAAGGTCATATAGCTAAAAAGTGGGGAAACGGGGAATCCATCCTAATCCTGTCTGGGCCCAGAGACCAAACTCCTATTCATTACATCATTCAATTAATTTTTAAAATGAACTTAAATAACTTTTGTGTATTCCCTTCTATTTTCAGATATCTGGAACATCCATCTTTGTAACCAGTAGCGTGTTGATGAATGTTTAACAACTGGCTCTGCAGGAGAAAAATCAGTGCTTGCTCATTTCCATGGTGTAAATACTCCCCCCAAAGCTGATTTCAAGACACTAGAGTGATCTCAAACAGTTCACATATTTCTGAAAATGTAACCATCAGTTCTCAAGAGCCGATTCATATGGTGCATGCAGCTCCAGCACGCTACTGCTTACAGTCAACGTTAGAGAACAGCTCTATCTTCTAGGTCAGTGATTTTCAATCCTGGCTGCACATTTGAATTATCTGGGCACTGATAAAAATCTGATGCCCAGCCCCCTCCCCAGAGATTCTGATTTAATTGATGTGGGATGTGGCTAAGGCAGCAGGATTTCTTTTTAATTCCTCAGCTAATTCCTATGTGCAGCCAGGAGTGAGTAACACTGCTCTGGAAAAAGATATCCCACTCATCACCCACTTATTCATCAAAGATTTGATGAATATGTGATAAGTTATGCTATATCTATTTTACTTTTATTTTTTCCAATTTTAACTTTTATGGGATGAGTAACCAGCTATGCTTGTTTGTAAAATTTTGTATAAACTAGTTCACTCAAAAAATGATTTCCGCTGGGCCAGCCCGGTGGCGCACTGGATAGTGCGCCGCTTGGGAAGCGCGGTGGCGCTCCCGTCCGAGGGTTCGGATCCCACGTATAGACCGGTTCCCGCTCACTGGTTGAGCGAGGCGCGGGAGCAACACCGAGGCTTGCGATCCCGTTGCTGGTCACGGAAAAAAGACAAATGACAAAAAAAAAAAATGATTTCCGCTGGGCCAGCCCGGTGGCGCACTGGATAGTGCGCCGCTTGGGAAGCGCGGTGGCGCTCCCGTCCGAGGGTTCGGATCCCACGTATAGACCGGTTCCCGCTCACTGGTTGAGCGAGGCGCGGGAGCAACACCGAGGCTTGCGATCCCGTTGCTGGTCACGGAAAAAAGACAAATGACAAAAAAAAAAAATGATTTCCGCTACCTTTCTCTGTCATTTAAACAATGGCTAGAATATAACAAATGCCGTAAAGTATAGCTGTCATTATTGTTTTCATTGTTGCTGTTAGCACCTTAAATTTGATCTCTAACAACTTCTATGATTCTCTTATCCATTACACTTTATAATTTGCACTTGGTTGAGTCTCAAATGATTGATGCAAATATGTTTGTCCCCAGGACAAAATTTTCAGCATCTCTCCCCAAACAGACCCAAAATCAGGGATCTTCCTGTCACTCGGAACAACCTAGCTCCCCTACCAGACCAAAAATGTAAGTATTGTGAATCTTCTTCAGCTTCCTTTGCAAGTGTTAACACATCTAGACACAACTAAATATTATTTCAGTTTACTTTCATTTTTCAAGGGAACACATCAGGGGTCAAAACTCGTAAGTTACAAGGAAATAGAGACAGTCTTTAAAGCTTCATCTAACTTGGTAAAGCTTATTTTAAAAAAAAGAAAAGAAAAAGAAAGAAGAAAGAATACTCCCTCTCTTCAGGAATTTTTGCGTTTTAACTATAAAAATGATAGGAGAAGTTTATTTTGCTATGTATTATTTAATGTTCTTACAAAGCTGCTTTAAAAATTCTTCTCTTAAGACTGACCTCTTGGGCCCGGCCCGTGGCTCACTCGGAGAGTGCGGTGCTGATAACACCAAGGCCACGGGTTCGGATCCCATATAGGGATGGCCGGTTTGCTCACTGGGTGAGCGTGGTGCTGACAACACCAAGTCAAGGGTTAAGATCCCCTTACCGGTCATCTTTTTTTAAAAAAAAAAAAAAGCCTGACCTCTTGACCTTGCTTTCCTTACTGTGTTGTGCATCACCTGTGTACTCACAGCCCCTGCATCCCAAAGCAAAAAGGAGAGGCTGATCATCAGGATTATTTTTGGCATCAATGATTTATTTTATAATATTTTGTACAAAAAACCTCTCATAATATAAAATTTTAATACATTCTATTGGGCCAGTAATCTTCAAACTTGAGTTTATTACCTGGGGTTCTTGTTATAAAGTAGATTCCTGGGTCCCACACCCAGAAATTCTTGTTGCCAGAGTCCAAAATTCCAGGATCGGGTACCCCACATGCAGCTAAAGCCAAAAACTGAAACACCAGTGCTTAGAGATAGAGAAAGGTTTATTTGAATTGTCCAAAGCAATAAGACAGGAGAGAAAAATCTCTCCAAGTCTTGGGGAAATTAAGGGAAGGTCTGTGTTTTCTCCAATTCCAGGTAAGATCTTAGGTGACCAGGTTCCTTAGTACCAGTGGCAGGTGGAGCTGGGTCATCCAGTGGTCTCAATTTCTTTAAGAGCATTGATTCTTTCTGCAAAACAAACATAAATTCTCCTTGTGATGTTTGGGTCATCTCCTCAGCTTGACGGAAAACCAAATATCAACTTATATAATTATATTACAGGAACAAGAGGTATGGGGAGGGAAGTTAACAGCTATCAGCAAGCAAAAGTTTAGGGGGTGGCGCACTGCGCTAGTGCGCCGCTTGGGAAGCGTGGAGGCGCTCCCGCCGAGGGTTCGGATCCCACATACAGACCGGTTCCCGCTCGCTGGCTGAGCGAGGCGCGGGGGCAACCCCGAGGGTTGCGATCCCGTTGCCGGTCCCGGTCCGGTACGGGGGTGACACTGAGGGTTGCGATCCGTTGCCGGACACGGAAAAAGACAAAAAAAAAAAAATATATATATATATATATATATCTCTTTTACTGTAGCTGAGAAACACTCAAATTTGACTTTTTAAAAAGTTTTGTCTACAATCATTAAAAATAAATTTAGATTAATGAAGAAATAAAGGTTACAAAAAATATAGACTTTAAGCAAACATATTTAAAATTAACTAAACGAGGCGCGGGGGCAACCCCGAGGGTTGCGATCCCGTTGCCGGTCCCGGTCCGGTACGGGGGTGACACTGAGGGTTGCGATCCGTTGCCGGACACGGAAAAAGACAAAAAAAAAAAAAAAAAGTTTAACTGACACTCAAATCATTAATTTTCAGCCACTGTTAAATTTGAAACTATCGACATTTCAGAATGCTTGTCAGCTTCATTCTGAGTTTGTATATCCTCATAGCTCTACCCTGAGGCAGGTTCTGTTATTTTTCCCATTGTACAGATTGGGAAAACTAAGTCCAGAAAAGTTACATGACTTTCCCAATGTTACTTAGGTAGTAAGTAGCAGAGCTAGCAGCAAAACTACACAACTGTGATTTAGCTGCCTTATGAAACCAGCAGTGTTTACCAGATTATCATTTCCTTTCGTCCTTTTCTTCCTATTCCACCCTACCTCATTTATGACACACATGCACACGTGCGCGTGCATGCACACACACACGCACACGCATGCGCACACACCCTCCCCATCCTCTTAATTGCAGGTTAGATGATTTAGGAGCTACCCTAACCATCTCAAATGGGTTCCTCAACCTTTTTGTACTTCAGTTTCCTCACTTTGTGTCTAACAATAGTGCCAACCTGATAAGATTGTTGGGAGAATGAAAAGAAATAACTTACGTAAAATATTTGGCACTCTGTTTGAACAGAGTAAATATCTAATATATCTTTTATCCACCAGGCTAGAGTTTCAAGGGGACAAACCAAGAGTTCTTGAACTCTTTAGGTAAAAGCAATGAGCCACAGAGTCTTAGTACAACCCCATCTTTTTGCAGAAGAGAAAAGGAAACTAAGAGATGGAGGGATATGTCCAAAGTCACACAGAAAGTTAGCAGCAGAAATCAAGACCTCTTCCTTGACGGATCAGTTTCTCTGCTGTTACTGATTAGTGTAAAGTGAGAGATTTGGGATGGTGTCGATTCTACCATTGAATGAAATTCAGGACTGAACCTGTCTTTAAGCAGAACTGTAGCCACAGAGACATCTATTTAAGGAACGAGTCACTCAATCTTGAATTCTGGTGGAGCTTGGAGAAGCCAGAGAGGTTTTCCTTGTCACAGCCCAAGAGCTTTGCTTTTCACAATTAAGTTTCAGGAGAGAAGGAAAGATAAAGATCTTAGATCAACTTAGCTCTACAAGAAAAAATGGAAGAGCACACCGTGCTTTTCCTAAAAGAAACCTGAGAACCTTTTAAGGTTTGCATAAAAGCATGACACAAATGTCTTGGAGCTTGTCTGGAGCCTTGTGCTGACTTGACCTTCAACAGCTACTCCACCCTACAGAATAGCTCTGCCAGGCATGCACAGCTCAATCATGTTCTGATCAAACTTTGTGCAGTCTTGTATTAGTGAGTATTTTAAATCCCTGACTGCATGATAAGCCTGGACAGATATGTATACACATCTTTCCTCTGCAGTCTAGCTCTCTCCAAGATGAACTTCTTAGAAATGCCTCCACTTGTTAAGAAATAACACTATCTGCATGATAAGCCTGGACAGATATGTATACACATCTTTCCTCTGCCGTCTAGCTCTCTCCAAGATGAACTTCTTAGAAATGCCTCCACTTGTTAAGAAATAACACTATTGTCCTCACACCATTCCTCATGAGACTCTGAGACAAGCAAATCTTCAAAGTCTCTCATTCTCTTCCCCCTCCCCAGTTCTATCTGGAGAACCTCTATGGACAAACCGAGTGCTTCCTGCTATTCCAAGTCACCGGGGACACAGAATGCCAGCTGACGAGAGTGAACACTCGGCTGATCCCAATGATGAAAATTAACTGTGGGCAGCAAACTGCAGAAATATAGATGATATTTTTTTTTTCAATTCTCAGAGGACAAGAGTAGTTTGTAAGAACAAAGACTAATTTAGTAAGCTGCATCTATAAGCCATCCACAGTTTTGTAACTCAAAATTCTTTATTCCAAATAAAGACAATTCCTAAATAAGCACTTAGGATCTTTGGGTGTGCATATGTTGTTAAGTCTGTGAGTTTCTGTGACCTATGCATGCCAAAATTAAAAGTCAAAATATGTTAACAGCAAGGAAACTTAGCTATGTTT